TCTTAACTATCCCTTATTCTTTTATACCTGGCTCCTTCTAACCTGCTATTCACCTTGTCAGCAAACCTTTTGCCTATTCTGTTAGAGCATCCATCCTGCACACTTTGCCCAGTGTAAATGTCACTTTGTACTAACTAGAACAGCTACCTCCCCCATTTGTAGTGTCAGATCCCCCACTGCATCCTGCATTTTTGCATTTTATTATATTATACATAATTATAGTGAACTACTGAAGCAGGAACAAGAATCTTTCGGCATTCTCAGCCTGTTGCATATTGTTGGTAGTGTATATTCCTTTGTTGAATGGCTTAGTGAATTGTAAGTGGGAATTTTACCCTTCCCACCCCCTCCATCAGCCTCATCAAATCTTAGCCTAGGAGGGCTAGCCCGGTCAGATAACATCACAGAGGAAAGAACGGAGACATTTGCATACAGGTGGGCATTCCCTCTCCACCTGTGCACCTCACCCAGCACCACTTCCAAAGGGAGCCTACCCTTGCTGAGTGCATCTCTGGGCTCTGATTGGGTTCGGTTAATGGGAAACCCTGGCAAGAGTTTGGGGGCAGAGAAGAGAGATCAAGGTATTTCTTTCCCACCTTTTTGATTTCACATCTCTGATGTTAGCTACACAGAATAGGATGGAAAAGATGGAAAAGTATCTGGAAAAGGACATGTTGACAATAACTTGCCCAGAGATCGTTTCTGAGATGGGAATTTCAGAATGTTTGTTGTCATGGGTCAGCTTTGGGACAGGAGGCCCCAGGTCAAGTTCACTGTTGAGGTCTCCAGACCCTCATGTTGGCCTGTTCTCAGCCCAGAGTACCCCCCAGGTGCAAAACTCAGTAGACCAAGAGAGACACAAGCAGGCATGGACTGAGGCAGAAGGCTGCCAAGTCTTTACCCAAAAGCACATCTGAATGCAAATGCCATCTTTTTTTTTATTCTTTTTTTTTTTTAAATATATCTTTATTGATTTCAGAGAGAGGAAAGGAGAGGGAGAGAGAGAGATAGAAACATCAATGATGAGAGAGTCATTGATCGAGCCCACAACCCGGGCATGTGCCCTGACTGGGAATCGAACCCCAATAGCCTGGATCCTAGGTCGACGCTCAACTGTTGAGCCAGGCCCGACCGGGCACAAATGCCATCTTGATGTGATACTTGATGTGGTTTTAAAGCTGTTTGACAGGCATTATTTCATTTGATTCCCTAATAACCCTCTGAGATAAATGTTTTGCTGATGGCTGAAACTGACTTAATCAACACTGCTGGACAAGTAAACTGAAACAAACCAGAGTCTGCTGACATCCAGACTGTGATCTTCCTAGTCTATGATTTATACCACCTTTAACTGATCTGGGCTCCATTCCCAGCTGCACCACTTGTAAACTGTGTGACTTTGGTCATGTGACTCAGCCTCTCTGTATATCAGTTTCTTCATCAATAAGACAAACACAGTATGTTTCTTTCATGATTGTTGTAAAGACTGAGAGAGAGGGACTTCTCAGAGGCTGGGAGAGGAGACTATGTTTGGGGCTTTCCGTGAGAAGCCAAGATGAGATCTGGTTGAGCTCAGCAGAAGAGGCTGACCTTCTGCAAGCCCTGAGACTGGAGGAAGGACCTGGGATGGTCTTTCATACCTGGCCAATGGAGTGTGTGAGCCCTGGACTTGTACAATCCCAACGAATAGGAAGAACTCCCCCACCCCAACCCTCACTCATTGACTAAATGATACATGCCACCAGCAGGTAGGTAGGAACTAAGCCAGATTTTTATTTATTTTTATTATTATTATTTTTTTATAGTAGGAAATGACCACAGCCAACACAACAATAGTCATCCAGTGCGAATGAATCAAAATTATACCTATTTTTTTGTCAGATTGGCAAAAAATATATGTTTTGGTGTGCTGCAGAATATTAGTAATTAGTTAATGTGTGCCATGAGATGAAAAAGGTTGAAAATCACTAATATAAGTTACAAAGTGTTCCCTCCGATAATTCGAATGTCCACTTGGCTCCATAAATAATTCAACAATATTGTTAACTATATTACCTATTCTNGAATGTCCACTTGGCTCCATAAATAATTCAACAATATTGTTAACTATATTCCCTATTCTTTCTTTATTTTTTGTAGGGTTTTTTAGTTGATGTTAGATGGAGAGGAAAGGAGAGGGAGTAAGAGAGAGAAACATTGATTGGTTGCCTCCTGTACACACCCTGACCGGGTATCAAACCCACAACCTGGGCATGTGCCCTGACTGGGAATTGAACCAGCAACCTTTCAGTGCATGCAACAATGCTCAACCAAGCCACATCGGCCAGGGCTATATTCCCTATTCTTTACCNCCACAACCTGGGCATGTGCCCTGACTGGGAATTGAACCAGCAACCTTTCAATGCATGCAACAACGCTCAACCAAGCCACATCGGCCAGGGCTATATTCCCTATTCTTTACCTTACACCCCCCTGCCTGTTTTGTAACCATTTAGGCCTTCTTAATTCCACCACCTATTTTACCCCACCCCCCAACACTTCTCTCTGGCATCCATAAGTTTGTTCTCTGTATCTATAAATCTGTTTCAATTTTGTGTGCTCATTTATTTTGTTCTTTAGATTCCACATATAAGTGATATCATATGGTATTTGTCTTTCTCTGTCTGGCAGAACTAAGCCAGATTTAATTTTATTTTTTCTAAAAAAGGAAATTGATCTTTTCTATGAAAAATTAAATGTAATAATTATGCAAATAATACCTACTTTCCACAGTACCTAATATTTAGTAAATGCTGCNACAGGACCTAATATTTAGTAAATGCTATATACTGGTTTCCTTCCCTATATTTAACACTAATGGGTAAGTGTTAGCAGGATTCTGGGACACAGCCTGTTCCTTCATGGGCTGGTGGGTGTTCAGGTTGGGCGACAGCAGAATGCTCAGTAGCTGCCACCCAGAGACAGGCAGGAGCTACTGTAGCTCACTCTCTGGGTCTGTGGCATTCGCAGAGGGAGACGCAGAAACTGGCAGCTGGGCCAACAACTTGAGAACAGAGCTAGTCTGGCCCCCACTTGCCTGCAGGTCACCTCCACCACCAGGGTGACATCCCATCCACCGTGTGTGTGTGTGTGTGTGTGTGTGTGTGTGTGTGTGTGTGTGTCCACTGCATGCCCTAATGAAAGGGAAGTTAGCCAGACCTCAGCTATTAGCCACACTCTGAGCCCAGGGAGATAGAAACTCTGGCAGCAGTGGTGGTGAGTGTGAAAGAGACCTTTGCCCTCTCCTCTATACAGCAAAGTCAGGTTAGGAGGCAAGTGCCCAAAAGCACCTGAAGTCTAGCAAGGACTTGGGGAGGTAGGGTGGAAGGGACGCTCTCTCCCTGAGGGCAGCCCAGAGCAAGGCTGCCATGTGATAGCCTCCTGCCTGGAGCACTGCAGAGCTGCTGCCTCCTCTGAACAGCCTAGATCCTGCAGGCTAATTAATTTAAAAAAAATTGAAAAAAGAACTCAAGTTATGGAGGAGGGANGCCTGGAGCACTGCAGAGCTGCTGCCTCCTCTGAACAGCCTAGATCCTGCAGGCTAATTAATTAAAAAAAAATTGAAAAAAGAACTCAAAGTATGGAGGAGGGCGCTGGAGGAGGGAATAATAACTGGGAAGGGGGTGGATGCTGCTGTGCTCAGAGTTAGGAGGTGTGAAAATGAGTCCCAGTCTTTCAATTATCAGCTTTGTAACCTCAGGCATTACTACAGGAAGCCTGTTTCTTCATCTGAAAAATATGAATCACAGTCCTTGTGTCATAAGGAGGACCCTTGTGAAAACCACAGTTATTATACACATACTCATGTCTGTACTACCCACGCCAAGAAACATGGTATTTATTTTGCTCGTGGCTGTACTCCTAGCACCCTCAGGGTCTGGCCATAGCAGGTGCTCAATAAATGTTTACTGATACCTGATCAGAAGGTACCATCACAGCTCCTGGTGTTTTTAAGGGCATTTGTGGGGACACTGCTATGAGGAACAAAACCTTAGGAGAGTCTCAGTGTGGAGACTGCCTGGTGATGAGGCCCTGGGAAGCTGCTCCAGAGCAGTGAGCCTGGCTCAGAGCAGAAATGTGCCTGGTGGGACAAAGTCCCAGGAGTCCCAGGTGAAGTTTCCTCTCTGGGAACCTTGGCTCTATTGCATATAACCAGCTCTGTGTCCCACCAGTTGCCTTAGAATCCATGAAAAGGTCACTCAAAACATCACAAACCCTGACAGCACTGAAAAGACAAATGGGCACTTACTAAAATTGTGTTTTAAAAATAACAGCAATGATAAAATAGGGAGGAATAATCCATTGACCTCCAGTGCCTGCATTTAAATATGGACAGTATCAAAAAAGAAAAAAAATTTTTTTTTTAGTTCTGTACAACTAATGGCCATCATACTGCGTGTTCAGGGAGAAATTTCCTATTTGGTTGAGTATCTTATTAAAGAATCAGAAAGGCATAAATATTGCATTTTCTTGGACTGAGTTTGCACAATCTGAACCACCCAAAGCATTCACTGTGTCTCTCATTTTTCTTTTTAGACTTCGAAAAAATGTTCCATTAGATTTGGAAAATCTCTTCTTATAGAATTTTTTGAAAGACCTTCTAATTTTTAATTGGGTAAATTTAGGTTCTGAAATGAAATGACAGAAAGGATTTACAATGTTTCAGCATCTAAATTTGGCAAAACATTCAAAACAATTTTGTCTCAAAAATATTTGTCAAAACAGATAATAACAAGTGTTGGCAAGAATTCAGAGAAATTGGAAACTTCATACATGCTGATGGGAGTGTAAAATGGTGCTGCCACTTTGGAAACAGTCCAGCAATTCTCATTTTTTAAGAAATAAAGTTTTCTCTACCTTCACTGAAGACACTGCTTTTAACACTTTAAACACCAAGGGAGTCTCAGCCAGGCTGGGAGATTGACCTCACCCCCACTAACATTCTTCTCTTTGTCCTACAGTATGTGTCCAACTGTCGCACCGTCACTCAGAGTGCGCCAGAGCAAAGCAGCTGTCCCCATCATCACCTCAGCCACCACCACCGCCACCACCGTTCCCACCACCACCTCCGCCACCATGCCCACCCTCACCACCTTCACCACCAAGAGGCAGAGCTGCATGCCACTCAGGTGACACCCTGCATGTGCCCCTTGTTCTCCTGCCAGTGGGAAGGCCACCTGGAGGTGGTGGTGCCCCACCTGCGGCAGATGCACAGGGTGGATATCCTTCAGGGAGCTGAGATAGTCTTTCTGGCCACGGACATGCACCTGCCTGCCCCTGCTGACTGGATCATCATGCACTCTTGCCTCGGCCACCACTTTCTGCTGGTGCTTAGGAAACAGGAGAGGCATGAAGGGCATCCCCAGTTCTTTGCCACTATGATGTTGATTGGGACCCCCACCCAGGCCGACTGCTTCACCTACCGCCTGGAGCTCAACAGAAACCATCGGCGTCTCAAATGGGAGGCCACCCCCAGGTCTGTCCTTGAGTGTGTGGACTCGGTGATCACCGACGGAGACTGTCTTATCCTCAACACCTCGCTGGCCCAGCTCTTCTCTGACAACGGCAGCCTTGCCATTGGAATTGCTATCACTGCAACGGAGGTCTGCTCCTCAGAAGCCCAGATGTGAAGCAAGAGGCCACCAGAGGCTCACACACAGCAACCCCTCCACCAAGAAACTGCCTGTGCCCTTTGGATCTCCAAATTCCAGGACTCCGCACTCCTTTTTGTTCTTCTCCTTCCCTCCCTCCTTTTCTTTCTTCTTCCCTTCTTTCTTTTCTTTTTTGTCTCAGGTACTCAGTGGTATCTAGTATTTGTCTGCCTTGGACATTATATTATGTAAACATCCTGTGATTCAAGATCTTTGTGTGATGTTTGTCCTGATTAGTTGGAATAGTTTTATAGAACATTTTAAATTAGACTCAATCAGAATGGTTATTAGCCACAACCCTCAATTCCCTTCTCCCTGGCTTTCAAAATGAGCAAAAGCCACCGAGACCACAAAGCAGACTGTTGGGGTTGAAAATAGACTTGGTATCCAAACTGTTTCTTCCTTCTCTTTTCAGTCTATTTCAGGGCAAGCTAACTCTGAAGTGTGTGAGAACAGCAGATTGGGAAGGGGACCTGGCCAGCTCAGAGATACGTTTCAGACCAAGAACCAACTCTGGCACCTTCCCAGGAACCTTAGGGTCAGAGCTCTGCTGCTGGATGTAAGGAGATGGTGTCTCCTTGGAAGGCCAGGGCACCAGGCTGAAGGCGCCACCACACAATGAGCCTCTGGTTGATCCCAGGGTTCAGGGAAGGGGGCAGACATTGAACCCTCTTTGGGCAGGTTGCCGTGGGCTTGCTCGCAGCCTGTGCCATCTTTTCCTGCTCTGGAATCAAAGTCCTCACATTTTTGGTGCTTTCTTGAGAATCTCTTTTGCCTTCCTTTGAGCAAGTAATACAAAATGATGGGAAAGATGTGGGGAAAGAGAAGCAGCTGAAAAAACAAAGGATAAAATTAATCTCCCACCTCTGGGAGGGTGTTTTCTCCTCAGAGAGTTTTATTATCAAATTATAAATCCATCAATCTAGTATGGAGCACTTTTGTATCATGCAAAGAACCCACTGTGCTCTTGGTACCTTATAAACCAGAACCAGGACTCACCATCAAACATAAGGAACTTGGAGCCTGTGCCCAGATCCTCTGACCTGGAGGACTGAAGCAGTGCCTCATCCACCGGGGAGGGTCCTCTGTCCTTTCTTTACTTTCTAAAGTGCTCCAAGGGCCCCATTCAGTACACATATGTTATCGCTGGTCAAGTATGCACTTGGCACCCTGTTGCAGTGTGAATGAAAATCATGTTGCCTCTACATACATGGCTTTCTCTTATTTAGTTGTCAGAACAATTTGTCAACATCTGTGGAAATCTCTCATATATTTGAAGAAAATAGCATGTTTAGTCAACGTTGTCTCTTCTGTTCAAGGTTGAATATCTGTAAGCTTCCTCATAGGCCCTCTTCTCCCTCCTCTTTGTCATTTTTGTTCTCCCCTTGGCCACTCTTCAGTTGCTGAAGAAGCATGGCACCCAAGCCCCACACAGTGCTCATTAGAACTGAGTGGGCTTTTCGCCAACCAAATATTTATCTCTGCTCCAATCCCTCAACCCAGCCACCTTGGCTGGATCCTGGCAGGCCTCCAACTGAGTACTTAGTTTCAGGCAGTTTGCCCTGGCTGGCCATTAGCAGTCTTTAACCCACCAAAAATAATCAACCCTGAAACACAACACCCTTCCCTTAGTGACCAGGTAATCCTCTAGCCACCTGTGCCACCAACCCACACCCTAAGCACCAAAGGGTGGTGCCAATCAATAGAAGATTTAATAACTAAGCCTCCTCTAGTCACATAGTGACTACTGGGACCCTGGGGCTGAGGTTTTCTTCTGTTACAGCCTTAAGGGGGCCAATAAGTATTGTGTCACTGACAGAGGCAAATGTCAGGTTGCAACCTCCTTTCTCTTAACACAGTCAGAACATCCTACCAGGGCAGCAGCTTTACCCCTCAGGCCACATGAATGGTCAGGAACAAGCTGGGGCCAGTTAACTCATCATTGGGAGAGACTGGCTCACCTGGCCTCTTGCTTTATCTCTAGGCTCTCACCTGGAAACTAAGGCCTCCTTGGCTGCAAGTCTGTTCCCTCTGGAAGCCACAGTTCCTCCCCTGGTTTCTGGTACTCAACCACTTTAATAGCATTTGTGTAGTATCAGGTGCCCAGATAAATAAACAAAAACCTCAATAAGAACATAATTAGTGTCCACAGAGCTTTGGGACTCCCTCAAACATCGCCTCTGCCTTCTTGTGCCAAGTTACCTGAGCCAAACCGGGAGTAACTTCACACTATTGTTATTGCTCACAAGACTATTATGAATAAGTGATCCTAGAAAGGAACTGATAGTTTTAGTACCTGGAAAACTTTAGAATAAAGAGTAAAAATGTGTTATTTTTGTCCATCTATGGTACTGCCAAGAAGGCCTTCTCTCCATATTCACATGTTAAGAATGGAAGCAAAAGGAGCCAACTGAAAGCAATGAAGAAGGACAGAGATTGTACCAACAAAGCACATTGCATTGAGCTCTACATTGCAAAGCGTTCCCTCATTTGAGTCTCAGGTTAATCTTCATCAGCATCCTCAATATACTAAAAATTAAAAGTTCAAAGACATGAAATGACCTTTCCAAAGTCACACATCAAGTGTTTGGGACCATGACTAGAACCTGGTAAAGGAACCTCAAACTTGGCTTTCCTTTAATAGGAAGACTGACCCAAAATATTCAGCAATGTTCCCCACCTCATCGGTGGACTGTGGGCCTGAGGGTCAGCTGGGTCTTGGTCCTGGGGTACTTGGGGAAGCAGGGAAAGAGGTTTGCCTTTAGAGACATCTCAGCTTGAAGAACTGGTGAACCTGGAAGAGGGAGCAGGGAGCATGTGGGAACCCTCATGTATCCCATCACTTACTCCAGGCTCCTCATTCTTAGATTTCCCAGAGTCTGTCCTGTGCAGAGCCCTGGGACCTGGTTGCCTCATTTCCATCCAGGTGCTGATTTAATGACTCACCCTCTAAGGAGCATTTGAATTTTAAAAGTAGGCCTAGGGAGACAGCAGCACTTAACAGCAAGAAGTAAGTTACCAGTAATTGAACTTTAGGCATCTGTGAGGACAATTTTTTCAAAAGGTGTGGGGAGAAGGACATTTCTGCCCCTGCTGCTGACCCTACATAAATGGTTGTTGCAGAAATGAAGATCAGACCACACAAAGAAGATTGTCTTCTGCATGATCTTGCATCTGAGATAGATCCCATCACTACAGCTACTGTGGACATTTTAGAAATAGATCAGGTTAATAATGATAATACTTATGGCTACCATTTATTGAGGGTTTACTATGTGACCCAGTGGGCCAACTGCTTAGAGTATATTATTATCACATTTAATTCCCATAACAACCTTATGAAGCAAGTACATTATTGTACTCACAAGAAACCTAAGCTAAGAGAGGTTAAACACTTGTTTAAGGTCGCACAGCTGGCAAATGGTAGAGCTGGGCCTGAAACCAAGCATGTCTAGCTCCAATGTCCAGTCTTCTGACCAATATCAACTATGTCATTTCAATAAATTCATGAACCCAAAGCTCAAAAGGATCAATCTTAAGTCTGAATGGCATAGACGCCTTTTAGTACTTTAGTACTAAATATGTCCTTTTATTTCTCCCTTTCTCTTTTCCCAGACCAAGACAGAATGATGTGCTAAAGGTGGCTTGTATACCAGTTGTTAAATTTTTAAATTTGAGAAACAAATGTTAAACACAGCCATTATTAAAAAGTAAATTACATAAATTTAGAATTAAATAAGTTATAAAACAAAGATAATACTCAAAACTCATCACTTCCTATTTCACTACTTTTTTATTTTCTGTGCTCTAGAGGTTATTTTCATCTATCATATCTGTATGGTGAGCATACTATATAATGACGCCCTACAGCACATCTCCCAACTCTATGTTTAGTGACATAGCTTGAAATTGACCATGATTTCAAGGAAATTGGCAAGTGCTATAGACTAGACTTCTTCCTCTCAGAGAGCCAGTCATTAAACAGTAGCCAGCACACTACTACCTAGAAGTCTCTAATTCACACAGTGGGGTGGGGACTTTAAATGAAGACTTTAGGAAGATCATGGTGGCCACACTGACAGGGACACAGTTCATAACCAAGCCAGTGAAACAGCAAATTGTTGATAAAATACAAACTGTTCTAGAGAAGATACTCTGAGGCTTCTAAGCTGTTTCAAGAGCATTCCCTGCCCTACTCCAGACCCTTCTCTATTGCTGTTAGTGTGGGAAATTTTATCTGATGACTTTCATAGAAAAATCATGGCTCCACAAACCAGCCTATTGGCCATCCCAATCCAAAAAGTAAAACCAAGCTCTACAACACTGGCATCCCCTGGTACTTGTTCTTATAGGTCATCTTTCTTATCTTTACATGTAGACCAAAACCTAATCTGAAGAAATATTTTACTTTGAAATGAAAGATTGAAAATATCCAACACATGAGAAGGGCACAGAGAGCAGTGGTTTCAAACTCCATATAAAATGGGTGACCACAAAAGTAGGACCCTTACATAGCACAAAGTTGAGGGGGCAGAATGGGAGTGAGTCAAGAGAAGAGTCACATGAAGAACAGAGCCCAGCACTTACCTTGCTACTCTGGCTACTTCACTTCATTGCAATCAGACAAGGACCCTGTTCACAGTTCATAGCCTACTGAGAGCAATACTTTTTCTAAATTAAGAGCATGGTTCCACTAGGATAAAAGTCACAGGAAACTGTAGGCTGAGTTCCTTGAAGCAGGTGAAATCTCCAAGCTCAAAAGTGAATCAGTTATTCTGATGCCAGTGGTTTCAATGTAAGACATAAAAGAGGTGAAGCTTGTTGAAGTTTCCACTTGGATCCAATTTCAGCTATAAATATATTAAAGTTCAGCTATAAATAACATCAAGAATAAGAGCAGAGTCTCCTAGTAGATTGTTAAACCATCAGGTTATTTGTTCAAAATTTTCCTTTGAAAATTGGTTGAGTTCTCTGTTGTGTTAAACTGGAGAATGGCCAGTCAAGAAAAATAATGAAAAGAGGTCCAAGAGATGAGTTGTAGATAAACATTGATTTCTCCCCCCTCTCCCACCCCACCCTAAATCAGGCTGTCACATGGGTTACCTACATGGGTTAGAGTTTGCCTTTTCCTATATTGTATGAAAATATTTTACCTTGAATGCTGTACTATAAATACTCCCCTCCCCTTTCTATCCTTTCTTTT